TCATCCCTCCTTTTTAACTTCTTTTTCCCTTTGGGTTTTCCTACCTTTTGATTTGAAGACTTGGGGTTGGCTTGGGTGAGAGAGAGCCAAGAGGGAGGGACAGGGAGTCACCGACGTCTGAGTTGGCTAGCGTTGCAGCCAAAGGAAATTGTCTCATCCAGTAAGCTTGAATAGAACTTTCTAGTTCTGTTTTACCCTTACCCCTGTATGAATTGGGGCCTTTCAATTGATTGATTTCGCCATGCAGAGATACATGAGACAACCCTCTTTCTATTGTGGTCCTTTTTTTTCTTTTCTCAAGTGTATTTTGTTACTGGTTGAGTTTTCATTTCCACTATTCCGTAATTTGTATTTTGAATGCAAACTCAAGTATGCTCCGGTATCTGATATTTCTCTGCAATGTGATAGATTCTGGTTCAAGGAAGGTTAAAAACTTCAAGGACCACAGACGAGCACATTATGATGAGTATCGGAGAGTCAAAGAACTCCGTAAAAAGGGCGAAGAAGCATCAGACGATGAGGATCTGGTGGGAAATGATGGAAGGTCTGATTCATCTTCATCATTGAGTGCTGCTGTTAAGGACATAGAGATTAAGGAAGGTAGCATGGACACTTCTAAATAGTACTCCTCCTCCCCAAGCCTTGGAGCTCAGATCAAACCAGATGAATATTGTTGATTTTATTTTATTTTCATACTCCCTTTGTTTATATCCGTCTTACTTCTGCCTGTAACTTGTGTATTAATGATGATAAAAAAATTTCACCGGATATAATAGCAGTAGGTTTTTTCTGAGAATTTCAGTGTTAACTCACATGTTTATTATATAAAGTTCTAGAATAATTTAGTATTTATATCTCTCCTTTAATAATTTAAAGATCAAGCTAAGGTTTTTGTGTGGTTTAGAGGAAAATATATTTATGGAAAATGTTTTATAATGGTTGGTCAAAATATTTACAAATTTCTTTGGCCAGAAAAACAAGTATTTTTGAAAAGTAACGATAGTGTAAAACTCTCTTTTTTCGCGTGGAGATAAAGAGACGTTAGCCACAACTTTGGAAGAGAATTAGCGTCAAATGGCCGAATCGAACCCTAGAGAAGAATCAGCTCTACTAGCTTCAAAAATATGCGATCAGATAAGCTCCGTCTTCTCCACAAATTCCCCAAATCCAGCAGCACTAGATGTGCTGGTGCAAGAAATCGCAGATGCTGCTAACCGCAACGGCCGGGTATTCGTATACGGTGTGGGCCGTGAAGGATTGATGCTGAAAGCCCTATCGATGAGGCTTTTCCATCTCGGTTTATCATCACACTGCGTCTTCGACATGAACACTCCTCCAATTGGTCCCTCCGACCTCCTAATCGCTTCCGCCGGTCCAGGTGGTTTCTCCACCGTCGATGCGATCTCCGGAGTGGCCAAATCTAGCGGCGCTCGTGTACTGTTGTTGACAGCTCAGCCTCATTCGGGATCTTCAATGAAGTACGCGAGTGTTGTTGCTTATATTCCGGCTCAGACCATGGCTGATGATGATGCCGGTGACGGAGAGAAGGAACGGCCGCTGCTTCCGATGGGGAGTGTGTATGAAGGAGCGATGTTTGTGCTGTTTGAGATGGTTGTTTTCAAGTTGGGTGAAATTTTGAAGCAGAGTCCTGAAGCTGTGAGAGCACGCCATACAAATCTGGAGTAAGCACAAGTTATAAACATACATTTCCGTACTGTAAATCTCCGTGCTTCATGCTTAATCTGTTTGATTATACTTACTGAATTCAGTACTACGATGAACATAAATTTATATGTAAAAGTTCATGAAATTATTATAAATATGTAATGGATTTAAAAAGAAAAATAGAAACTTAAAATTGAATCCGTAGAACTAAAATCCTGAATCCGCAAGGTGATCTTTTCATGATGAGTTTTGTAGACACATAAATTGTATTGGATCAAATTCATATAAAATTTGAATCAAATTCGTGATTTTTGGGCTGAATAATTAATTTGGCCCTTTACAAATAAATAAGTCTATCTTATTAAATTCAAATGAAAGGTCCATTTGACCTTGAAGTCCAAACTCATGCCATGTGTCAAAGTGACTAGGCATTCAAAACCAACAAGGTGATGCCACGTGGCCAAATGAGGTGGTAGTTCCAGTCAAATGCAAGAATGAATAACAATGCGCTAAGTGTCAAAATGACATCATTTGGCCAATCACAAGCAACCTTGTCCACTCTCGACAACTATAATTAGAGGATAAACACGACATTTAAGGGGATCCAGAAAACTCTTCAACAAGCATTCAGTGAATTGGAGAAAGCTACAACATCAACATCAATAGTTCTTCGAAAGAGTGATCAACGGAGTTCTTCTCGGAGATCAACTTACAACGACAAAGCGCTTTTCGACGTCTCGAAGATCGACAACATCTCAAGGAGGTCTACATCATTCAACAATTCGAGAAATACTTTACTGAAAGCCCTCAAATCGTGAAAAAACTTAGGAGAGAAAATCAAAAGAACAATAGAATTGTACTCACAACGATTCGTTAATAAAAATCATTTTTTTTTCTTTTATTTATTTTGCTTACAGTCGATTTTCAACATTTATAAAAATTTGTTGCGAACAAGTTTCATTATTTGAAAAACTGTTATGCTATTCAGTTGATTGATTAATGGAATAACTGATGATGGTTAGAACAAGAACTTTGAAAAAAGTGGAATTCCTATGTGAATGGTGGCTAGAAGGATTGCTTGCGATACATATATATTTAAATTAGATTTGAAATTTTTGAATTTTTAATCTCAATAAATAAAAATTATAATAATATATACTCAACGTAATTCTATGATTGATGTTCGAAGAGAATAAAATGTATGCAATGTTATCACTATCTTGTGAAAGTAATGGTATAAAAACTTCATACACTAAAATTCACAAAATTTATAGCCATTAATTCAGCAACATAACTGGAAATACTTAAGATATACATTATTTCTTAATTTTAATTTCATTTCTTAAGCAAAAGTAAACATAACACATAAGTTGATAAAGAAAGTCAAAAAGGAGAAAACAAAAGGAAATGGCAAGTGACGAAAACTCTTGCATATGATATGTTGTGGTTAATCACTAATCAAACATCCGTAATTAAATTAAGCATGATACTTCTACTAATCACTTTTTAATTTGCCGCTAATTACGTTAGCCATGCATGTTTTTTTTTTTAAAAAAAAACATGATTTACTGGTATAAAGATAAATATTAGGCATATAAATTGTGCTTCGCATATAAATATTTATCATCTAACTATGGTTGGTGATATGTTATCCTACTTTAAATTATTTAAAATAGTATAAATATTACTTAACAACATATATAAGAATTTTCAATCAATTGTTAGGTTCTTGGCATAAGTTCCTTTGAGATCCATTGTGGGAATAAGATAAAAGATCAAAAATACTACGCGAATGCTCAGTATATAATTTTTCATTGCCGTTCATTTTACTCTAATATGTTATGTTTAAACTTTAAATCTATTAAAAATAACTTTTTTATTTTCATATAACACAGATAAATAAAGTAATGTACACATCAATCATCATCACTTTCTCCGAATTTCATATATAAAATTGTACTATATATATTAATATTTATGATTGTTATATTAGTTTGATTTTAATATTATTGTTATCCAAACTCTCAAAAAATAAGAAGTAGAAAGGTAAAAGCCAAGTAAAGCAATCGCATCACATGTGGTGTTGTTGAACCCTAAAAATATCTACATGAGAATTTTAGGCAGTCCTATAATTTTTATGTTATACAAAATTTTATTTTATTTTCAAATTCTTAATTTAATACAAAATTATATTATATTCTCAATACTAAATTGCGATAAATATTAGTATATACATAATACATATTAACAAACAATTCAAATAAAAGTGAAATCATTGATAAAACATAATTACATTATAAATATTGTATTATCATAAAATTTATTTTAAATCTTATATAAATACTCGACTTTCGAGACTATTACGTTACTCTAATGAATGTTCTATTAAAAATCGTTGTGAATAGATGAATCCCCAACGACCAAAAAAGCTACTTGGAGCAACCGTGGAGATTTTTTAGCAGAGACGATGAGTATTTTCAAACAAAAAAGTTCTTCTTTCTTATTTCTAATTTGCATGTTTGTTGCGGAGTTTGAAGGATGAGTATTTTCTTCTTTTCGATTTGTAATTTAGCAGTAACAAATAAATCAGTCCAAAGAATCATTCAAACAAAAAAGATCTTCTTTCTTCTTTCCAATTTGTATGTTTGTTGTGAGATGTTAGAAGGATGAGTATTTTCTTTTAGAAATAGAGTGAGATTACATGGTGAAAAATATGTGCAAGACCTAATTCTTTCTCTGCCAAAAAAGCAAGAAGAAGAAGGGATATTTTTTTGTTTTTCCTACTTTTGAATATATATATTTATTTCTGATTAATTGTGTCTTTTTTTAATGAAAAATACTAGTTTTACGCTCTTAACTCGTGTGTGCGTCACACATTTTTCCAAATCGCGATACAAAGTATAAGGACCTATTAGATTATTCTGCCTTTAATAATCACTCGTTGTTATGTTTGGATATAATATCTATGATCACGTAATGTGTTAAATAGATTTCAAATTTAACTCAACTTCATTCCTTAGCCAATATCGAAGATTTAACATCCCACCCCCCATCAAAACGTACAAAACTGACGAACATTAAAAATACTAGTATATTACACTACTAAATAAATTAAATTTAGTAATGGACAAATTTTGTGACTAAACATTAAGATTCATCATTAATCCTACTTAGCAATGATGAGCCGTAGATTTTTGTCAGCTATAAATAGAATAGTAATGAATCAGTAACGAAATTAGTAACTAATTTCAAATATTTTAAATAGTAATTGTCTTTTCATCACATTAAAAACAAAAACAAAAAAAATAATTATATATTTTTTTAAATAATCATTATTTTAATAGGCAGGTTAATTTAATTAAAATAAACCTGAGGAGTACTATTCCCCCAAAAGAAAGGTAAGATTAATAAAAATGAAAGATAAAAAGATCAACAACTTCTATCTACAACATACATATAAATTAAACTAAGGTGCTCATTTAGCAAGAAATATCACACTTCTTTTTTTTGACACATGATATTTCACTCCTTTTTCGACATAAGATATTTTATACGACGCAGAATATTTTATATATCGAACTATTTTTTTTTTTAATTGAGAGGAACACTAGGGTGACCATCAGCATCCTTATCTCCTCTTCCATGCTTATATTGTGGGACCACCTGTAACCATATAATACATTAGATATAATTAATATCTACTAATATTAATTAATGACTTATCCTAATAGTAGAATTTAATAATATTCATTGGTGGATATATAAGCTGTCATATTGAGCTAGATCAAAGTACGTGGCAATTTATTATTTTTTAATAAAAGACACTCAATAGGACATATTTATTGAATGTTTTCAAATATGTGGGGAAAGGTTGATAAAATATTAATGTATGATATGAATAATATTAATAAATAAATAAATAAATAAAACAAACCTGATCTTGTGAGGAAATGATGGATGACATTCTTCTAGTTTTTTTCTCAACATCTATTCTGCTTCCGCTGCTCATGTTGATATCTTATAATATAGTTTTTGCAACATTTATACAAAAAAAAAATATTAGTTCAAAGGGAACACTTTTTTTTTTATGTATTTATTTCAGCTACACATGTAACACACGTATTTAAATATAATGTACTGTATCTATGTATATACGATTTGCGAAAGGAAAAAATAAAATACATATATTTAGGGCAATAGATGAATTTAAGGTAAAAGATACGTTACTTGGCTTGAATTATATATGTGTGTTAGAGAGAGAAGAAAAAGACTATTGCTACGTACCCTATGACGATAAAAAAAAATATCTCTTAGTAAATAGCAGTTTTTTTGTTTTAACCTGTTTGTTTATGGTTATGATTTGATAAGTAATTTAAGAAAATAAATAAAATTTTATATTTTATCTTAAATGTGTAAAGTATACTAAAATATTTTTAAATTTTACTATCTTAAACGTGTCATTAAAAAAGTTAAAATTAAAAAATTATCAAAAAAAATAGAAAATCATTCCTTTTTCTTAAACATACTAAAATGAAAAATAGAACTGAGAGCCTATTTTATCTGTGTGGTTCAATTTCTGATGATCACTAATTTTCAATCGCACAAAAAGTATCCAATTATTTTAATTTTTTTGAACGAAGCAAAAACCCCATTTAATTAATTAGCTTGCACTTTTATCCCTTTGGATCTTCTAAAAAATACCACAAAACACAAATTAAATTATGCGTAGACCCATCTCCGGATCTAATCCGGAGTTCGGTAAAATTCAAAATTTTAAAAATTCTATCGTATTAAAAATAAATATAAGTAAATATTTTATATATATACGTTTCAAAATCAACTCAATCTCGCGAAAATTTATATAATATATATATATATATATATAATAATAATATAATTCCAGATCTGTTTCCTCGCAGATTGCAGGACTAGTATGTACAATATTTTTTGCGCACACATTACTAGTACAGCATGCAACGAACTTCTGTTAGCCGAAGGCTAGCTAAATAGCTTTCGGCTAACTAACATACTTTAATAATTTACTATTAAATAAATTAGGAATAATTTTTTTGTTCAGTTACCTGAGGTAGAAAATCTGCGTCGTCTTTCTTTAGGAGTATCAAGGGTTGAATCTGTACTATCGGGCAAATGGCGGTCGAGCGGAAGAATAGGGGCGGCGTTACTATTATTCTCCAGCAAAGTTTGAACAAAAGAAGCTTCAATTGAATTCAGAAAATGAACATGCCTTTCATTAGTCCAATACAAACTGTTACTCGACGATTCGTATTTTCCTTCAAAATCCTTCTTCTTCGGATCCATATATATATATATGAACTGAGTCGATCTGTAATTGTTCTCCGACCGGTGCTGCCGTCGGAAATGTGAAATTCCGGGCCGGTGTATTGCCGGAAGACCACCAGGTGGGTTGATCTGTGTTTTTCGCTTTTTTGTTCTCTCTATTAAGTTTCGAATGCCAATTAGGATATTTTGGGGCTTTTTATATGATTGTTATATCTTTACAATTGTACTGACGAGTGTGGGGTACAATATATCATTGTCAAACATTTCACCCACTATTAATAGCACGACTTATTTCGTCTCTCGATACAAATTATGCTGAAAATTAATTATTCGTTACATATGTATTTAATAATAGTGCATAACTACATGAATATTTGAAGATTTTTTTTGCGATAAATATTAAAATATTAGTAATATTAAATTTTATATCAGTTATATAATACACGTGAAATGTCAAATAGAATGAAAATTTAAAATACATGTATGTTTTTTTCTTAGTTTTTTTTTTATTTTTGAAGTGTGGATATATTGCATTGATGAGACAGAGAAAAGGCAGAGAGTGCTTAAATATTTGTAGCAAAATTTGAATATTGCATGAGAAAAATTGGTTACATGTTGCAATCCATCCCTTGTAGACGTGCTAGTATCTTTTTTGTACAAAATTAATTACAATCTGTTGCTTGCTCACATCACTATAAGAAGTTTTATGATTTTCTGGGTACGGTTTCTTTTAAATGACAAATGAACCTGCATTCGTTATTTTCTGGGTGTGTTTTGAATAACTCACTTCGACTTATAGTTCGTAATAATATATATATAAGACAAATTTGATGTGACGAGCTTGATCAAATAAATATGCAAAGAATACTAAACTTGGGATCCCTTATTTACTTGACCATCGTTTTCGGATTAATTAAACTAGGATAAAATTAACAATGATAATCTCAATTTACGAGTATTTCAGAAACCATGAAGAGCATGAAGCACATTCTATGTAGTGGTGCAAGTGTAACGAAACATTACACAATGAATTCAAAATATCTTCTTTCTTTTTCTTACTTGATGTTTAATATCTGTATTGAAACTCGATTATATTTAAATTGTGTATTGCACCTACATTTTGGAGACGTTGCTCTTAGCGTATTTTTTTTTAAATTTTTAAATTTAAAATCTCTAATTAAAAATGACGCATAAAATCTCAACTATCTGATCATACTTTATATCAGTGAATTAAAAATATCGATAGAATACATTGAAATTCGATTATATTTAAATTGTGTATTGCAACTACATTTTGGAGACGTTGCTCTCAGCGTAATTTTTTTTTCATACCCTACGTTTAAATTCAAAATCTCTAATTAAAAATAACGTATAAAATCTCAACTATCTGATCATAATTTATATCGACGAGTTAAAAATATCTATAGAATAAGACATAGTAGATATTTAATTTGTTAAAGAGGGGGTATCATGAAAGAATCCCTTACCGAATCGTCAAAAGTGCAGAAAAAGAAAATTTGTACACCTTTTATTATGTTGACGATGACGATAGATCAATCGAAGGTGGGGGATATTGTTATCCACTACAACTTCTTTGATTTTTTTTGTTTGTCATTATCAACAACATGATGGCAAATTTAAAATTTTGTAAATTTTAACCTCAAGTTATTAATATAGTAATTGATTTTATGATTAAAATATTTAATAAATTTCTTTACATTTAATACATTGCAAGGGGGAATATTACACGGATAAACAAACATATATTCCCTCTGTCCCTTTTTACTTATCCATTTTTGAATTGGTATATCTATTAAGAAAATAATTAATGACGTAGTGAATTTACCATTTTACCCCTATTAATTATAAAGTGGATGAAAAGTTCTACATTTTTCAAAATAATTAGTCATTTAATTGTGGGTATAATAGGTAAAAAAAATTGTTCTTTTTTTATTTATAAATGGACAAGTAATTAGGCATAACTATAAAAGGAAAAGTGGACAAGTAATTAGGGACGAAGGTAGTACTAGTTAATTAGTTAACATAACTATGATTTGAATTAATTACCGCTCACAACTTGATTTTAGTTGTAATTGCACCGTCTCTCTCTTCTCTTTCTATTTCTCACCTCTTTCCTCTTTTATATTTATACAAATATAAATTACTATACATATGCACAGTGATTTTAGGTCTGAATTAAAGGAGTTATTGAAGTGAAACAATGTGTCAATTCACCACAAAAAAAAGTCATTAACATGGAGTTACTAATTGAATCACTAGAACTTTTAGACATGGTTTTAGGTCTGAATTGAAGGAGACGATAGATAGATGAAAATTTGACTAGGAAATTATGACCAACACACGATAGATTTGAAATTTGACAAGGTCGTCGCGACGAAGACGAACTTGAATCCCGACGAACGGGAGACGACTAGGGTTCTGGTGTGTGAGATATTTGGGTTACTATTAATTTGAGTGCTTTAATTAGGATTCTTTTTTATGGGGCGGGTTACAGGTTATGGGTTAAAAAAATGGGTCAAACGAGTAGTATAATAGGATTATGATACGTGTAACAAAATAGGGGTCTGTTAGTGAGAGGGTTATATTTGTACCACTAATTGGACGGTAGGGATATATGTGTACGCATAGTATAACGGAGGGTATATACTTACCTTTTATTAAAGTTCGAGGGTAAATTCGTCTCTTTTCCCTTCATATTTTGTCAAATTTAAAACCAAACTGAAATTTACAAACCAAACCAAACTGATCGAATGCCCAACCCTATTTCTGATAATCAGATTAGTCCGTTCAATGATAGAATCGCGACTCACCTCTAAAATGGGTAGAATAGCTGAGAAGAAATAAATATAAAAATTACTCTCAGAGTAATTAAATTGAAATTTACTCATATAATAGTAAATTAGAAATTTACTAAAGCAAAAGGCACATGGCAAAGTAAACTTGGAGTTTTGCAAATACTAATAGTTTTATTAGTTGGCATGAATAATTTGGTCATCCCAAAGATGTGGATACTAAGTAATAGACATACATTGAAGAACTAGATGATTCTTTAAGAATTCTTTTTGTTTCTTGTTTTCATGATAAGATGATTGATCAACTAATGTTGGGACTAAACTTCTAAGTTCTGAAAAGTATCAAAGGTGAATATGAGCACGTTCAACTATCATGTGATATGATAAAAAGATGTATCTATAAGATAATCACATGTATGCTTGTTGTCAAATTGTAGTTTGACATTTGCAAAATTGTTTGTGCAAAATAATTGAGTTAAGAGCACAACATTCAGAATATGAAATCAAGATAATTCATCTTGATAATATTGATAAATATTAAAGATGATGTACATTAAATGTTTCAGATAGTGAAATCATTGCTTATGAAAATAAAGTTTCGTGTGTTAATCTAAAATATGAGGAAATTTTCTTTAAATTGATTTATGGTCATGGACGAAATATTTTTCATCTGATTATTTTGATAATGTACTATATAATCAATGAATATACAATGATGCACAAAGATAGATTTTCCAAAAGATTGAGATATATGTTAGTTTGTCTAACATAAAGGAGAGATTAGAAGCAATACAAGAGTTGTAAATATTCCTCCAAGATGTCCCTTAAGGATAGAGTCTACGAGATACATTAAAGAATGATAGACTAATTGAATCCAATAGTAAAATAATCCTTGAAAAAGGGAGGATCAAAAAATCAAAATGATCATAATAAGAAGACAATGTACTCTTGAAGAGCTTATGACATAACACTTCATAAGAGGGCTACGTCCCTGCAAATAATGAAGTGATGAGATCTCAATAAATTATGTCGTATTGTGAATTGATACAAATGATATATTTTTGACGATATCTTTGATATAATTAATAGTGCGCAATATTGTAAAGATGAATCTTACCTTAAAGATGTGAGAACCTTATTGCATAACTTATGAAAGATCTTTTACTTTTCTATCATAATTCTTTAAGTATAGAACAATCGTTTTGATAACGTGTTATGACTCTATATAAATTTAGAAGAAGATCAAAGTAGGGAAAAGAGAGAAGACTTCTTATTTCTCTTGAAGTATATTCAGGATTCACAGATCTGATTTACAATGAAGAAGAACCCCTTCATTTATAGGGGAAGCCTAACTTGGTCGTCAAGTAGGATTTCTAATCGTATCCTAAATGAACTCCACATAATTAAACATTTATTATAATATAAATATGTTTATAACACTTATTATATTATAGTGACACGAGATTAAAATAGTAGATATGTTGTTGTTTGAGATTAGTAATGAATCAAAGAGTAAATTTATGGAGAATTATATTTGAAGTAATATATATATCGATCCTGTTTTCAGTCCAAGGGATATGCGGTCATGTCATGCCTGACGCGGTCGAACGTTGTGTGAAAATATAATTATAGTTGAATTGAAAAATATAAGATGGTCTCATAGTATAAATATAATATAGTTGAATTGAAAAATATAAGATCATTCGAAAGTATGGGGAATTATATTTGAATTGAAAAAATATATTGGGAAGAGGTATATTCGACGCGAAGGTACGAAGAATTATATTTGAACTAGAAAAATTACGAAAGAGGTCTATATGACACAAAAGTATAACAAAATATATATAAAATTTTTTTTAATATTAGGAATATATTTTACATTTTTCTATAAAATTCTCTATATATAATTATAAGAAAACAAAATAGGTATATGTAACGTGAAAATATAACAAAAGATTCATGTAAATTATTTTTAATATTATAAGGATGTCATTTGCGCTTTTCTTTAAAATTTGGTATATATAAGTTGTTATTTAATTTATGTGATAATATAATATTTGATATATGTAAATTATTGAATAAATAATTTTGAGCTGAATGTTACTAAAACAAACGTGATTATTTATTAACGAAGGGTATCAATTGTGACAAATTTCATTTTGTGGGATTTATTGGGCATGTTGGTAAAATATGATGCAAAGAGACGTGTATTTAAATTGAAAAATATATCAAAAGATATATATATATATATATATATATATATATATATAGATAGATAGATGTATTTAAATTGAAAAATATATCTAAAGAGATATATATAGAGCGAAAGTACAGAGAATTATTTAAACAGAAAAATATAATAGAAAAGGTATATATAGCGTGAAAGTACATAAAATTATATATAAACTGAAATCATATGAAAGAGAGATATAT